CCATTTTGTAAAAATCATGGTGATTCAATTAACCATGTTCTATGTGGGTGCCCTTACACTAAGATAATTTGGTGCTATTTCAATGGCCTTTTTGGCATTTCAGTACCTATAGTTTCTTCCATAAGACAGGTGCTTATTTTTTGGTGGATTGAGGCTGGCTCTAAAAAATTATCTGATATATTTAGGCATAATATGCCGGGTATAATCTGCTGGCACTTATGGAAGACCTATTCTTCCTATGTCTGGGGTTCGTCTCCTATTCCTAGTTCAGAACATCTCATTACCCAAATTAAGTGCTACACTCAACGTTGGGCTTGTTCATTGACTAAGATAAAACCTAAACCGATTGAGGAATTCCTGACTCGTGAGCAGTTGGTTTTCAAAAATTTCAAGTTCAAATCTTCTGGTATTCAAATAATCAGGTGGAGAATACCTAGCAAAGACTATAAATTGAACGTAGATGTAGCTTTCTTACCTGGCTTGGTTCAGGGAGGAGCCATTCTGAGGAATCGGTTAGGTGAATTGATCTACGCGACATCCTTCAAGGTTCAGGCAGACTCTAGCGAAGAGGCGGAGCTGATGGCTTTAATTCGAGCTTCTGAGATGGTAATGGCGGATGGGTTTGTCGACGTTCAGGTGGAGACTGATGCTGTCCATTCTTTATCTATATTGTTTGATGATTCAGGAAATTGCACTCGGTTACAAGGTTTCAGACGGAGAGCTTCGGACATGGGCTTATCATTTGGACATGTATTCAGGGAAGGAAATGGGCCGGCTCATTTATTAGCTGCCCATCAGATTCACTCGGGCCAGAGTGCACGGTTTGATCAGGTTAATCGACTTCCTCATTTGGTTAAAGTCGGTTATTATGCTGATTTATTTGGAATTCCTAGTATACGGTTATAATTATAAAAAAAAAGTTGTTGTTTTTTAAGAAGTATTGGCTTAGTCCCCCTCTATATTTGTATTCTTCTCTGATTTTAATAAAACTATGGTAAATGATCCCCCGACATTTACCCCACTGATTTTGGTGGTTTGCCTTTCGGGGTAAAAAAAAAAATCATAAAAACCCCCCTTGTTACTTATTTATTTCTATAAAAAGAGAAGTGTTCCTTTCCCTGTGGATACGAACCTTACTACACTATACTACGTATTAGTGTCGTATTGATTATTATTTTGAGTGCATACACGACAAAGTGCACGTCATTAGCAATATACGATTCGTGAATAATACAATAGCACGTACATTCGTGTATAATACGATACAATTATATAAAATACGGCTTAATATATGTTTCATACGTTCGTGAAATGGATAATGTCACGCCCCAAACCGCAATCCAAGCGCGTGTACAACCGCCGTATAATCAAGTGACGTCACCCGCGAGTCAACCTCACTTAATTACACAAGGCGTTCGAGAAATAATTCATCCATACTCAGTAGTAAACATACATAACAACATCACATTTAAACCAATGAATAGCGGAAATATTCAACGACAAGTCATGAGCCACATGTAACACCCCGGCCTCGTGGGACCCGAGGTAGTTACTCTAGACCAATAGTACTGTCCTCACAAACCACCACAAGCCTTTACCGCGCACTTTGTCCTCACTCATGCACGCCCTGAGAAACTTCCCAGGGGGTCACCCATCCCAAGACTACTCCCGTGCAAGCACGCTTAACTTTGGAGTTCTTAGCGGATGAGCTCCCTTAAAAGGAGATGCACCTCTGTTGGTATGAGTAGTACTATTAATCCGTTTATATTAAATCTCAAGTGTTACAATCACCCCCACTTAGGAACGCAACGTCCTCGTTGCGCCCATAAACCAATCTCAAATCTCAATCAAATCATATCCCAGAATCTTCCCCCGCTAGGTGCCCGCCTGATATCCAATAGGTCATCACACTGTCGCAGGGTTGCTCTGATACCAATTTGTAACACCCCCAAATTTCCCGCCCAAAAACATTGATATGATTGAAATAAAACTTTTATTTATTGATAATAAAATTTAAAGAGTACAGCGGAAGTCTAAATAGGGAAATGGGTGTTACCGCCACATCCGGTCATCTCTCAACCGGATGCACAGGCAACTAAAACAAAACAATAAAACTAAATAAATAAATGTTTGTTTCAAGACTAAATTTAACTAAGGCAACTTCTAACTCGCTCTCAGGCGCGTGCAATCAACAATCAACATAATCACCATCACCTGCACAAATAAAGTGCAGAAACAAAACAAGGAAGAGGAAACAAAAATTAGCTTTAGAGCTAAGTAAGTACTACCCAACCCCGTAAAATAATCACGTTTGACTAAAATAGATTTTTATATAATATTATATAAAAATAACTCACTCCACCGAAATCCTTTTCTCTTTAATATTTTCTCAAAATCACTTCTTTACTAAAGTCCTCAACATTTCTTTGAAAATACTATAGTAACTCTTCTCTTAGAATTTCTCAAAATTCACTTCTTCTCTATCTTCCTAGTAATTTAGAAGGGCGGTGCTCAGCCTTTCGACTGAGCCCGGTGGACCGTGGTTACGGACGGCCACCCCGAACAAGTGCCGGTACCACAACTGCTCTTGCAGAAACGAAACGACTACCTTAAGTGTGCACACCCCCTAAAAGGGATTCCAAGCCCTCCGAGTAGTAAGTCATCTCGGGTAGTCGGGACTCAGTCTACCAACCACCCCACCTTTAAAATTCTTGAATGATTAGAGACTACTACTATAACTCTACTTCTTAAAAGGGATCATCGATCCAATTATCACTGAAAACTTATTCTCACCCTTAGCAGTAGTAGCCCTTTTACGTCGGAACTACTACTACTACCACAACTCTCCTTCTTAAAAGGGATCATCGATCCGAAAGTTACTCAAAAATCTCTTCTTAGTAGTAGCCGCTCTAATCACCCTCCACATTTATCCGGATGTGGAAAACCGACACCGCGGATTTCTCCCGCGGTGCTCACCTCTTATGAAAACGTAAATTTTATCTTGGCTTTAGATATACTTCTAAAATATTTCTCAATTTCTTTAAAAAGTCTCGAAGGTATTTAAAAATATTTAATACCCCAAAAGTACTTAATTTATATTTCTCAACTACCATTTATAAACTTTATATAATATCTCCTCAAAATCACATACACAAAATTCACAATTCACACTTAATCACATAATGCATAATAAGCATATAATACGAGGAAACAATTTTGGATTGGCAGAGAAACTTACCTCAAATCCAATGCTCCTATTTCTCTTCTTCTATTCCGATCACTAAATATTCACCTTTTTAATTAAGATGATATAATTAGTCGATTGTCTAACATTAAATATCTACCCAATTTTTTTCTTTCTTATATATTATTATTCGAGTTGACTAATTATTAATTCGAACTTAGTATATCCCTTTACTAAATTCTGAAATCGTTATCAAGTTATCCAGTTGATAGTCCATAGTAATGCATAGCTATCCACTTGTATCAATTTATTTATGAATGTCCATTACGAATGTAACCATTTGTTTTGACATCATCCACACTAACCAATCCAATCTGTCTATTATAAGCAATTTCCAATACTGTTTCAGATTTTAATTAAAGGTGTGCTTTATCTTAGCCCCTAGCTTTAACGCAGGTCATAGGCCCTTATATTTTAACTGAACCAAATTTGTTTTAAGATCAAATTTATTTTAAAATGTTCGGCCCAGATGAAAGGAACTTAAGAAAATAACAGAGTACTTACGTACTCGTAAGCCGTCTTCCTCGCAGCAGAGATGTGCCCAGAAATTGATCGTCACGACGTCGCTTCGGATTGCTCCTCCTCCGATCCGGCGGCTTCGAGGTAGTGGTTCAGCACTTCAGCCGCGGTTCTGCCTCGTCAGAACTTTGACAGTCCATTCTCCACGGTTAGGTGTCTCCTTCTCCGGCAATGGATGACCGTCAGTCCAACGCTTGACGATAGTGGGTTGATCGCCCCAGGGTCTCTGCGCTCAACTCCGGTAGCGGTAACAACTCCAGCGGCTCAGCCTCAACGTCGGTCTCTCTTCCTCCTTGGCCAGATCATACGTAGAGTTCTGTCTTCTTCTCGTTGGTTTTTGCAGAACGATGTGGGGTGTGTGTGTTGTACGTATGATTTACAGTTACAGAGTATGAGCGCAGGTATATGTTTGTGTGCGGCGTAGTGTAGAGATGGTACGAGGTTGCGATGTATATATGCCCAGTTGATGATTCCAGATTTTAGGGTTTCTTTCGTTAAAAATCTGCACCCGAGAGTATTTAAACGTGCGAGCGTTTAAATTCCTTTTTCATTTATTTTGTTTATTATTATTGTTGTACGATAACGCATGCATTAATATAGGTGTATATATATTTTTTTTCAACATTGAAAAATATGTCACTTTTGTCGTTAAATTTGTTTTTTTTTTCCTTTTTGTCTATTTTATTTTATTATAAATTTTTTTGGGGTGTCACATTCTATCCCCCTTAAAAATGTGCTTCGTCCCCGAAGCACTAAACTTAAATCCAATATCAAAATTCTTAAGCATTACATTCTACCCTCCTTGAAGAGAGGTTACGTCCCCGTAACTAAAATACTACTTAATCAAATAACTCGAGATAGCCTTTGCGCATACCGACCTAGCTTTTCCAAGTGGTATTTTGGTCAAACGACATGACCATAAGACTTCCACGAATTTGACCACTTAGCTTCTAATTTCACGAGTCTCAAAAGTACTAAGGCACTTAGAAGGCCTCTACGCTATCATAAGTATACAATTTATTCACTAAGTCTCTATCTAAATTCTATCACATATAGATATTTCAAAGATGCTATCAAACTCCACACATTTCACATAAACAAGTAATTCCATGAATTTCCACATTTCGATCATACTGATCAATTTCGTAAAGGTCTCACATCCTCACCGCGTTCCTAAGAGGTCTTTTCCTAGTCATATTCTTTTCCTAGAAAAATTTGTTTTGAACAATTGTTTGGAAAACTTTTTGAAAAATATTGTGAAAAATCCCCAAAAAATAACCTCGGTCTCTGATACCAATTTGTTGGTATCATCTAATAAAATTTATTAAACATGAGAGAACTTTTAAAAATTTGTTTAAAAGACTTTTGGAAAAAAAAAATGTTTTGGAAAATGCCCCGGAAAAACCTGGCTCTGATACCACCTGTAACACCCCGGCCACATGGGACCCGAGGTAGTTACTCTAGACCAATAGTACTGTCCTCACAAACCACCACAAGCCTTTACCGCGCACTTTGTCCTCACTCATGCACGCCCTGAGAAACTTCCCAGGGGGTCACCCATCCCAAGACTACTCCCGTGCAAGCACGCTTAACTTTGGAGTTCTTAGCGGATGAGCTCCCTTAAAAGGAGATGCACCTCTGTTGGTATGAGTAGTACTATTAATCCGTTTATATTAAATCTCAAGTGTTACACCACAACCGGCCAACAACATGGGCATGCAAGCCCCAAAAATAGTTTATAGTAAAACAAATATCCATGAGCAAGTGTTCGGTAGTTTGAAAGAAAATAAGGAAGCACGAACCACGTCTTCCTGATATGATATCACCAGTGAGAAGGTGCAAGTAGCAAGCCCGAGCTTCAACCTGAAAATGGTGGGGGGCCCCGAAGGGGTCAGTACAAGTACCGAGCGAGTAGCAGGCTAAATATAGAATAATTAGCGTTTCAAGTATAAGACCCAAACATAGGGTGATACTTAAATAAATAGTCTTTCCCCCAAGTTATGAAATACTTATTAGTATATATATACTTGGAAAATATCCGATCCGTAGATCGCCGTTTTATTTGGGAAAAATAGTAATAGCCAATATTCTTGACTAAAAACCCCAACCCACCCATATACCTATGAGTGTATAGGACTCCTCCTTGTCCCTATTTCAATATCATAATCTATGAGTTTTGAGGATCATAATCCTTGGGTACTCCACCGGTTTGTGAGTGTTAAGGACTCATAAGTCCTAGGGTCCTCCACCAAGTTTTGAGTGCTAAGTACTTTTAAGTACTAGGGTCCTCCACCAAGTTTGAGTGTTAAGGACTTTAAGTCCTAGGGTCCTCCACCAAGTTTGAGTGTTAAGGACTTTTAAGTCCTAGGGTCCTCCACCAAGTTTGAGTGTTAAGTACTTTTAAGTACTAGGGTCCTCCACCAAGTTTTGAGTGTTAAGTACTTTTAAGTACTAGGGTCCTCCACCAAGTTTGAGTGTTAAGGACTTTAAGTCCTAGGGTCCTCCACCAAGTTTGAGTGTTAAGGACTTTAAGTCCTAGGGTCCTCCACCAAGTTTTGAGTGTTAAGTACTTTTAAGTACTAGGGTCCTCCACCAAAATATTTCCTTATGATCAACCTCCTATCAACCTAGATAGAGTCTATATCATACTTAGTCATTCATAACTAATTCAATACATAAAGCTTATGTATCACAATCCATGCAAAGCCATGCAATTATATAAATGTATAATTAACTAATATCAACCGATATTAATTAGTCCATTATCCATCGGTCAACGTTGTCGTTGACCGTCATTTCAAGTCTTACACTTATCAACTTAATCATCATATAATTAAGTTAAAAATATTCATTTGTGCTTCTAATACACTTCAATCAAATATGCATTTTATATAATTCTTCATATCATATTCCATGCATAAACAATTAATTTCTTTCATACAAACTTAACCCTATTGGCTAATCACATGTTTAAATATCTTTTAAACATCATTATGAACTCATATAACATTTATTTAGGTAATCTCATAATTAACCCAAAAGTTATAAGATATTAAGCCGTCCACTCACCTCGAACTAGCGTTAAGAAGTTCTACCCTTCTTGGTTGAACTCCGGTGAAACTCCGGCGACTTTTGGTCAACTCTGGCGATAACTCCGGCGACTTTTCCAACTTTGTGAAATCACTTGAAATACCCTTTACAAGTTTCTAACAAGGTTTTATAATCATAAAACCCATGTTAATACAAATAACCTCAAAAAGGTTATTTTCCGGTGAACCGGTCGTTTTGGCTTCTAAGTCCGTTCTTGGACATAAAATCACTTTCCAACCCATAAATCCATACTTATAACATGTAGAACCATACTAAGGGCCCTTCATATAATATATACTTCATATGGTAGAAGAAAAATAAGGAAGAAGTTATAATAAGGTCATTACCTTAATTATTTCACACTTTTAGCACTTTAGCTCCTTTTTGGGTGATTCTTCCTTGATGAGCTCTCTTCAACAATGGAGGAAGGAAAAAGAAGAGTTTTCTTTCTCTTGTTGCTGTAGCTTGGCCGAAATGGGGGGAGAGAGGGGTGAGGCTTACCCCTTTGTCTCATTGAACAAATGAGTGTGGATGGGGGCCACCTCATTTTTGTTTGATGCCTTTTAGATCATATCAAGGCCTCCTCCCATGTTCCCTTCTCCTACCAGCTGGACAACTCTCCCAATTTGAGTGGAAAAAACGTGGGTTGGCCCCCACACATGTGGGAGGTCAACCCTTTTTGTCCGGAAATGTACAATCGGTCCCGAAAGTTGTATTTTTCGGACTGTTTTAAATATATTTTATTTTATCGGGTCAAATAAAATATATTACATGTTCCCAGTCGTAATGGCCTCTTGAAATAATATATATTTCAAAACATTAATTTAGAAGTCCCTGAAATTCATTTTCGGGCTGTTATCTGTTAAATTGTCGGTATCGGTATTTGGGCTTCTTTTGACCAATCGGGCGGCCCCCGCTCCCGGTGTGGGTCCCACGTGCAATTTACTATTCACGCGAAAGAAATAATAAAAATTTACAACTTCGTAAATTCATTAATCCTTTAATATGGTTCAATACATTATTTACATAAAAGTAAATATATTTGGGGACGGTGTTACAAGTTCACCCCTCCTTATTTGGGATTTCGTCCCCGAAATCCAAGTATCTAGTCGAAAAGAAATGGGTATTGTTCCCTCATTGAGACTTCGGTCTCCCAAGTTTCTTCTTCGACTCGAGCACTCCTCCAAAGAACTTTTACCATAGGAATCTCCTTATTCCTAAGCTTCTTCACTTGTTGACCTACTATTTTCACCGGCTCTACCGCATATTGCAAATCCTCACGGATCTCTACCGGCGGTTTCTCAAGAATATGAGATGGGTCTCGTATGTACTTCTTGAGCATTGATACATGAAACACATCATGTATCTTCTCAAGTTCGGGCGTTAACTTGATGCGATAAGCCACGGCCCCAATCCTTTCAAGGATCTCAAACGGTCCAATGTATCGGGGGTTAAGCTTTCCCCTCGATACGAATCGGATGATGCCCTTCCAAGGAGAAATCCTTAGGAAGACCTCATCACCGACTTCGAACTCCAACGGTCTCCGCCGTTTATCCGCATAACTCTTCTGTCGGTCCTGAGCGGCCTTTAGTCTATCCCGAATGATCCTCACCTTGGCCTTGGTGATCTCAACCAGCTCTATCCCTTCGAGTTTGGCCTCGCCAACCTCGTCCCAACACAATGGTGTTCTGCATTTCCTCCCATACAATGCCTCATATGGAGGCATGCCGATACTTGCTTGATAACTGTTGTTATAAGCAAACTCCACTAGAGCCAAATGCTTGTCCCAACTTCCTTGGAACTCCAAAGCACATGCCCTAAGCATGTCTTCCAAAATCTGTATCACCCGCTCGGACTGTCCATCCGTCTGTGGGTGAAAGGCTGTGCTAAACTTCAGTTTAGTACCCAATGATGCTTGAAACTTTGGCCAAAATCGGGATGTGAATCGTGGATCCCTATCCGAGACAATGGATATCGGGACTCCATGTAATCTCACAATCTCCTCCGTGTAGAGCTTGGCCAATCTTTCAAGAGGATAAGTAATGTTGATAGGCAAAAAGTGTGCACTCTTGGTCAGCCTATCAACCACTACCCATACTGCGTCATAGTTGTTCACTGTTCGTGGTAGCCCCACCACAAAGTCCATGGTCACGTGCTCCCACTTCCACTCCGGGATGGTAAGTGGTTGCAAAAGCCCTGCCGGGTGTTGATGCTATGCCTTAACTTGCTGGCAAGTAAGGCATCGACTCACATACTCTGCGATATCTCTCTTCATACCTGACCACCAGTAACTTTCCTTCAAATCTCGGTACATTTTAGTACCTCCTGGATGCATAGCATAAGCTGAAGAATGAGCCTCCTCAAGTATGGACTTCTGGAGGTCTTCATTCTTTGGTATGCATACACGATCCTTAAACAATAATAGACCGTCATCACGTACTCGGAAGTTCTCAACGGGTCCTTCAAGGATCCTCTCACGGATCTTCTGACATTCCTCATCCATGGCCTGACTTCGACTAATCTCGCCCAACAGGGTGGGCCTAACCTCGAATCGAGCAATGAGAGCCCCACACGTGGACACCTCCATGCGAGCCCTCAATGCCTGTAGACATGTGAGTAGCGTCCCTGACGTATTCTTCCTGCTCAGTGCGTCGGCCACGACATTGGCCTTTCCGGGATGATAGTCGATGATCAAGTCATAGTCCTTGATCAACTCCATCCATCTCCTCTGCCTCATATTCAACTCTTTCTGAGTGAATACGTACTTCAAGCTCTTATGGTCTGTAAAAATGTGATATGTCTCCCCGTAGAGATAATGCCTCCAGATTTTCAGTGCAAACACTACCGCCCCCAACTCTAGATCATGGGTAGGGTAGTTCACCTCGTGCTTTCTCAATTTCCTTGAAGCATAGGCAATTACTTTACCGTTTTGCATCAGTACACATCCAAGCCCTTGGATGCTAGCATCACTGTAGATATCATACCCTATCCCCTGTATGGGTAGGGCTAGGACTGGTGCTTCGGTAAGTCGTTTCTTCAGTTCAAGGAACCCTTTCTCACACTTGTCGTCCCATACAAACTTGGCCCCTTTCTTTGTGAGCTTCGTTAATGGGGATGCCAATACAGAAATTTTTTCAACAAACTTACGATAGTATCCCGCTAAGCCAAGGAAACTACGTATCTCTTTCACGTTCTTGGGTCTCTCCCAATCCATGATAGCCTTTATCTTGGCGTTATCCACAGCAACGCCCGAACCGGATATGACGTGACCGAGGAAACCAATCTCCTTGAGCCAAAATTCGCATTTAGAGAACTTGGCAAAGAGTTGTTTTTCCCTTAGCCGATCAAGTATAAGCCCCAAATGATTTTCGTGCTCCTCCTCGCTCTTGGAGTATATGAAGATATCATCGATGAATACTATCACGAATTGATCTAAGTATTCACTAAACACCCGGTTCATCAAGTCCATGAATGCCGCCGGTGCGTTGGTTAAACCAAATGACATCACAAGGAACTCGTAATGACCATACCTAGTGCGAAATGCACTCTTAGGTATGTCGCTCTCCTTGATCTTCAACTGATGATAACCCGACCTCAAATCAATCTTCGAGAACACTATTGCCCCCCAAAGTTGATCAAACAAGTCGTCAATCCTCGGTAAGGGATACCTGTTTTTGATTGTGACCTTGTTCAACTGTCGGTAGTCAATACACATTCTTAGTGTACCATCCTTCTTCTTCACGAATAGTACGGGTGCCCCCCACGGTGAATGACTGGGTCTGATGAATCCGTTGTCCAATAATTCTTGTAGTTGGACCTTCAACTCTTGAAGTTCGGCCGGTGCCATTCGATAAGGAGGAATCGAAATGGGTTTGGTTCCCGACTCCACTTCAATTACAAATTCGATCTCTCTATCGGGTGTAAGCCCCGGTAGGTCTTTGGGAAAGACATCCGGGTACTTGCACACGACCCGTACATCTTTGATGTCGACTTCCTTCTTGGTATCGTCCACCACGTAGGCAAGGTATGCGTGGCATCCCTTCCTCATCATCCTCTGTGCTCTCATCACGGATATGATACAAGCATTAGATTTCCCCCGATCTCCCTCGAAACATAGTGTGTTTCCTTGATCATCCTCGAGCTCCAACACCTTGGTGTAGCAATCTACTCGAGCATGGTGTTTCTCGAGCCAATCCATTCCTAGGATTGCATCGAACTCCAACATGCTTAGAGGTACGAAATCACAAGTCAAAGGTTGACCCGTCACTTCTACCTCACACGACGGATAGTAATGATTTCTCTCCACGTCGTCTCCTAACGGTGTGGAGACTAGCAACGTTTGCGTCATAGGTGTCAATGGCACGTCAAGGCCCTCGGCGAACGCCTCACTCACAAATGAGCGTTGTGCCCCGGTATCGATGAGGATTCTCGCACACCTACCATTGATCTTTAATGTTCCTACATTTATACACCATGTAAGATACATTTTCTAATGTTTTTACACATCTTTAGGAGGTTATTAAGTTCATACTAATGTTTGGAATCAAACGGGGGTCCAAACGCAGAAGAACGGGGCGAAAAAATAAATTTTTGGGTGTTGGGGGTCCACGCACGGCGTGCCTGGGTGGCACGCACGGTCGTGCGTGTGTGAAAAATTCGGAATCCGCCACTGCCGGCTACGCACGATCGTGCGTAGCTGGTCACGCACGATCGTGCGTCCCACGCACGGCGTGCCTTACCTGCACGCACGGCCTTACCTGCACGCACACACGGTGTGAAATAAGGCTAGAGGCTACTGCCTCGTACGCACGGTCGTGCGTCTGTGGGTACGCGCGATCGCGCGTAGTTGTTTTTAGCCCGTTTCGCCCCGAATTCGCGGGGTTTGACCCCGGGGTGGCCCGCACCCAAACCCAATGACTTATATGACCCAAATAAGCCTAGAAATACAGGAAAATAAGTGTATTACCTGCAACGGAGTCCGGGTTTGCTCGCGCATCCGCCTCGGTCATTGCGTACACTCGTGCTTGGGCCCCACCTTGGTTGACGGATGCGGCATGGCTTGTGGATGCACCGCCTCTTCCTGTGCCGCCGTTTGACGGTCCCGCACGGTTCCTTCCCGTCGTGGTTCCTCCTCCGGTCCCCGGCGCTCCTCCTCCCCCCAATTGTGGGCAATTTGCCTTCATGTGGCCCGTGTTCCCACATCGATAACACCTCGGGGGTGCGTTGCACTTCCCGAGGTGATTCTTTGAACAATTGGCACACTTAGGAGGCCCCGTATTTTGAGAGGAGGATGCGTGCCACCGAGCATCCTTGTTCTTCTTTGCCGGTGGTGCCGGCGCCTTGAACGTACCCCCACCCCAACCGTGGTTATTCCTCCTTGCTTGCTCGGGCGGCCCCGAACTATGCCATTTTCTCTTTTTCGCCTCCTCGGCGTCTCTTTCCTTCCTCTCATTTCATTGAGCCTCCCCAAGAAGGCCCTGCTCCACCACCTCGCTAAAGGTCATGTGGCGCGAGTACGTAGCCCGATCACGGATGTCCAAGAGTAAGGCATCCCAAAAGTGCTCCGACATGCGGTCCTCATTGATCGCGTACTCCGGTAAGAACCTAGCCAAGGTTCTAAAATCTTGCTCCAACTGTTTAACAAAAACACCCTCCTTCTGTTTGAGGTTAGTGTACTCCCTACGCTTGACATTTTTCTCGTAGTCAGTGTAGTATTGGTCATAAAATTCCTGCTCAAAGTTCAACCACGAGACCTCCCCATGGTATTTCCCTTCTACACTCTCCCACCACGTGGAAGCTATCCCCTCGAGCAGCCGTGAAGCAACAGTCAACTTCACGTCCGGTGAAATTTGCATGTCCTTTGCCGCATCCTTCACCTTCTTTATCCAATCGGCGGCAACGGTAATGTCACCGGTGCCGTCAAAGGACTTACACCCCAAGGCCCTAGCCTCCTTGAGGTACTTGGAGATTCTCACACAAAAACCTCCTTCACGCCCATCATGTGACGTCGCGGGAGTGGCCCTTGAAGCTCCCCGGATTCCTTGACCCGAACCACCGCGAGAGCCACGCCTTGCTTGGCGCCTAAGGTCTCTCCTCAGTTTTTCTTTTTGATACCACTCAAGCAATTCGCCCATTTGGGCGAACTTGGCATCACTCTCTTCATCATCATCGTCAGTGTACGTGTCACCCCCATCATATGGGGTCTCCTCATGCTCCGTTTCCGGAACATATGTAGAGTCGTAGTCTCCGGTGTTGGCTTCATACACCGAACTAACATGGCCGTCGTTCACGGTTTGAGCCCTATGACCTCCACGGCTTCCACGGCCTCCACGGCCTCCTCTTGAACCCCGAGATACAGCCCGGCTTCCCCTTTGGGATGCTACCGGCGCCTGCCCCCTCGGATTGTTCCTGGTTGCCATTCGCCTGCCCTCCATTTCTGAAAGAAATATGGATGAGTCATTAGACTCCTATAAATGTCAATTGACAGAAGAACGTTACAGACACGTATTGGCCCAAGTCACCACCATACCAATTGTTAAGGGTACCGTCTTAACAATTAGAGGCCTTGCAACTTAAGCACCAATAGTCCCATAAACGTCAAAATACCATGCTCATGGTTTTCGGTAAAAACTCTTTTGTAAAATCTTTTGTGAGGGATTGATTATATAGTTTAGAACTGAGATGGCTCTGATACCACTTAATTGTCACGCCCCAAACCGCAATCCAAGCGCGTGTACAACCGCCGTATAATCAAGTGACGTCACCCGCGAGTCAACCACACTTAATTACACAAGGCGTTCGAGAAATAATTCATCCATACTCAGTAGTAAACATACATAACAACATCACATTTAAACCAATGAATAGCGGAAATATTCAACGGCAAGTCATGAGCCACAACCGGCCAACAACATGGGCATGCAAGCCCCAAAAATAGTTTATAGTAAAACAAATATCCATGAGCAAGTGTTCGGTAGTTTGAAAGAAAATAAGGAAGCACGAACCACGTCCATTATCCATTGGTCAACGTTGTCGTTGACCATCATTTCAAGTCTTACACTTATCAACTTAATCATCATATAATTAAGTTAAAAATATTCATGTGTGCTTCTAATACACTTCAATCAAATATGCATTTTATATAATTTTTCATATCATATTCCATGCATAAACAATTAATTTCTTTCATACAAACTTAACCCTATTGGCTAATCACATGTTTAAATATCTTTTAAACATCATTATGAACTCATATAACATTTATTTAGGTAATCTCATAATTAACCCAAAAGTTATAAGATATTAAGCCGTCCACTCACCTCGAACTAGCGTTAAGAAGTTCTACCCTTCTTGGTTGAACTCCGGTGAAACTCCGGAGACTTTTGGTCAACTCCGGCGACAACTCCGGCGACTTTTCCAACTTTGTGAAATCACTTGAAATACCCTTTACAAGTTCCTAACAAGGTTTTATAATCATAAAACCCATGTTAATACAAATAACCTCAAAAACGTTATTTTCCGGTGAACCGGTCGTTTTGGCTTCTAAGTCCGTTCTTGGACATAGAATCACTTTCCAACCCATAAATCCATACTTATAACATGCAGAACCATACTAAGGGTCCTTCATATGATATATACTTCATTTGGTAGAAGAAAAATAAGGAAGAAGTTATAATAAGGTCATTACCTTAATTATTTCACACTTTTAGCACTTTAGCTCCTTTTTGGGTGATTCTTCCTTGATGAGCTCTCTTCAACAATGGAGGAAGGAAAAAGAAGAGTTTTCTTTCTCTTGTTGCTGTAGCTTGGCCGAAATGGGGGGAGAGAGGGGTGAGGCTTACCCCTTTGTCTCATTGAACAAATGAGTGTGGATGGGGGCCACCTCATTTTTGTTTGATGCCTTTTAGATCATATCAAGGCCTCCTCCCATGTTACCTTCTCCTACCAGCTGGCCAACTCTCCCAATTTGAGTGGAAAAAACGTGGGTTGGCCCCCACACATGTGGGAGGTCAACCCTTTTTGTCCGGAAATGTACAATCGGTCCCGAAAGTTGTATTTTTCGGACTGTTTTAAATATATTTTATTTTATCGGGTCAAATAAAATATATTACATGTTCCCAGTCGTAATGGCCTCTTGAAATAATATATATTTCAAAACATTAATTTAGAAGTCCCCGAAATTCATTTTCGGGCTGTTATCTGTTAAATTGTCAGTATCGGTATTTGGGCTTCTTTTGACCAATCGGTCAACCCCAGGCCTTCCCATGGCCCAAATAAGATGTCCACCACTATATAAATATTATTTCAACCCGTAAGAATAATTTATGTGATCTTGGGAATATCGGGCGGCCCCCGCTCCCGGTGTGGGTCCCACGTGCAATTTACTATTCACGCGAAAGAAATAATAAAAATTTACAACTTCGTAAATTCATTAATCCTTTAATATAGTTCAATACATTATTTACATAAAAGTAAATATATTTGGGGACGGTGTTACAGATAAAGATACAGACGTGTTTTAAATGTTTCACAATTTAAAAATAAGGCATATAATATGCGTCTTATATACTAATTTAATGATAGAAATAAAGAGTTATTTAACATATGTACCACATTCTTTAACAGTTTAACATGTACGGAATAGTTTTTTCAGATATACGAATTTGAATTCATAGGTTCAATAAGTAATAAAAATGACATTGTCGTTTGAGTTGAAGTAGAGAAATATTACTAGAGAATAGTTGATATTATTGTGACCGTGAGTTTAGTGAGCCACCACAATATTTTTCTCTTTAGAGTCTTGGTATTGGTATTGGTATTAAATCTAATGACTATGAAACAATTAACGAATGTACAAGGCATAATTGTTTTAAGCAACATAAATAGTATTGAGCAGCTAGACATTTCGTTTCACTTGTACCACTCCATTAGGCTTCCATTTAATGGAGTGTGTTTTTGTGAATAAAATATGTATGAATATGTATGATACGTGTATTATACATTTTATCCTTAAAGTACGTGAATTTTTCAGAATTTTCTGAAAAATCATAAACGGGAGTATTATATGTGAATTATACGTTTGAGTGTAGAATAAATTCCTCTAATATTGCTCTTTGAAAAGTAGTGGACAAAAATGTGACTTGGTAACTTTTAGTGATTACTATGGTATAGTGATTACGATAGAAACATTGAATATAATTATAAAAGTTACTAAATCACATTTTTGTCCATGACTTTTTTCTTAGTAATATTTTAGGAAAAAACTAACATCCAAGATATCTCAAAACCAAATCCAAAACCAACTACTATCAGATCGTAGTAACCTGCCCTCGGGTGCATGTTCAAAAATTCCGAAATCATTGAGTATAATTTTGCAAAAGATTTGGCACTACAAAACTTTCCAAATAGAGAGTTAAACCTAAATTACCACTTCCAGAAATAGCATTTACTATCACTATCAAAATAATATTGAAATATCTCCCAAACCCATTGCAAAATAATACACGAACAGAAGCTCTTAACATAGTTTAATTCATACACGAGCAGAAGCTCCTATCATAGCTTGGTTGATAAAAGTGATATGGATTAATTAAAAGCAAAAGCAATGTAGCGTGATTGAAAAACGTTGAGACCTAGAACTAGAAAATAAATACAAATTCTTAAAAAGAAGTCTTTGTATGCATCAAATGAAATTTGTAAGAGCATGAAATCAAATGAAAATAACATGAGAAGACTTTTTTTTTTGTAAATAAGTCAGTTCATTCAATTTGTAAACAAATCACTCTCCACGCAGATTACTTTTTTGTTTTGTTTTTTGACAATAAATTGGTCTTTTTTCTATGCTTTTGTTCCCTCAAAGTTTTTCATCCATTATTCCATTCATACCCCATAATATAGTTTGAAGTAGGCTAACCTGAACTTGGGATGTTTAATTTTTACTTGTACGGATTTCATTCCTTGATCAGACTAGACCATACCTGATCAAATCTACCAGATTTAAAATAAATCAGACTAGACCTGATAAGACTTTAACAGTTGTAAATTTCACATAAATGGGACATCTATTTAACTAAACTAGACTACTTTAGACCAAATAACATCAGATCAAATCTGACTGGATCAGAATTTTTTATATTTCTAAATATAATGGCGAGTTCCAAAAAATTCTTTAGTTTGATATGTTACATTTACTAATACGACGAATTTGTATGTTCTTTGTTGATATTAAAAAGAACGAATAAAGGATACATACCACTCAAATTTTCTTTTAATTATAATGAGACACTAAAATACGATCCACGAAGCAAAGTGAGGAGAAGAAAATTTAAGGCTAAATGGTCAAATAGGCCATGTACCCTTCCAGTTTGCTCAATTTACCCCCCTGAATCCAAAACAAACTCTAATTAACACCCTGAACTTGAAAAAAAGATTCAAATTTCACTTTTAGTAGGTCACAAGCCGGTCATCGTCACGTCACCCGGTAGGGTGCCAACTATGCATGTGACGTGACAACTTAGGGGGTCAAATAAGCCTCTGAACCCGACCGAATCGTTCAAGTTACCCCTCAACCCTTAAAATGTCAAAATTACGAGAAATAGAAATAAAAATGAAAATAGAAAATAAAAAACAGAATGAAAAATAAGTAAAAAATATAAAATATAAATATTTTTATATTTTTTTTGTAAATTCAAAATAAAGAAATAGAATATAAACTAAAATAAATTAATTCTTATATATAATACGTAAAAAAGACTTCAATATATTTCAAATAAATAATATAAATATGTAGTTACTATTTTTAAATTTTAATTCTTATATATGAGTAATTTTATGTTACTACAGATATAAAAAAGTTTAATCAATAACTTTGAAAAAAATAGTTTCATAAGAATTGTATATTTATTTTTTGTATATTTTTAAATAAATTAAGAAATATGAAACGAAAAAATACAAATGGATAATTTAAACATAATGCTTTGTATAAATTATCAAACCAAAAACCTAAAATTTATGTTTTATTACAAACCATTAGATATAATACATAAAATAAAACTTTAAATATAGTTGGTAAAAAATAAAATACATTGTTTAATTATATGAAATATACGTAGTAGTTATAAAATATGGAAATAAACTTAAAGATTTTTTTAGTTTATATTTTTCTTTTTATTTTGAATTTACTGTGAACGGTAAATATTTCATATTAATATATATTATATTTAGACATTTATTTTATTTGTAATTTTATTTTATATTTATTATTTATTATTTTTATTTTATTTTATTTTTAAAATTTGGCATTTTTTATGGTTGAGGGGGTAAATTGAACGATTCGATCGGTTCAGGGCTTATTTGACCCCCTTAGTTGCCACATCACGTGCACAGTTGGCACCCTACCGGGTGACGTGGCAATGACTGGCTTGTGACCTGCTCAAGTGAAACTTGAATCTTTTTATTGAGTTCAGAGTGCTAATTGGAGCTTTTTTGGGTTCAGGGGGCAAATTGAGCAATCTGGAAAGGTACATGGACCTATTTGACCCTTTAGTCAAAAATTAATTAGGAATTTAGGACGGTGTGCATAAAGACATATTTGTAGCAGGACCGTCTAATAAATTTGGAGGTCCCAGTTCAAAATGTAAAATCGGGGCCCCACATTATAATAATAAGAGATATTACCCAAAATGGGACTAAAAAAGTTTGAAAATTCCAAAATAGGACTTTCATGTTTTTATTCTCAAAATAGGACTAATTACTGCCATGTTTTGGCAGTACCAGACTTCAAACATGGCAGTATTTTTCAAATTTGGCAGTAATTAGTCCTATTTTGGGAATAAAAATATGACAGTCCTATTTTGGAATTTTCGAACTTTTTTAGTCCCATTTCGGGAACTTTCCCTAATAATAAAAAAAAAACTAAATCCAAATACTTATACTCAAATCCATTGGATACTCATTATAAGAAAACTAAAAGAGTAAAAGCACCAAAGGGAAAATGATGGGTCTATATTTTTCTTCCTTATAAGGTAATTGTATTTTACTGATTATTATTAATATATAATATTACTATATAGTACTAATAATTATTTAAAAATTTGGGGCCCCATAAATCCAGAGCTCTGTTCAAGATAACTTATTGAGTTTAAAAAGTTCTCTTTAGATTTATGAGTATAAATTTAGTACGGAGTACATTTTTTTGTATACCAACCTTTTATGCCAACGGGTTTATTTTTTATACATAATAAAATTATTTGTTCTAGAAAACATTGTGTTTACCGTACCGTATGGTAGGTACATCCTCGTAATGATTTGTTGTTACATCAATAAATTTTATATCGAAAATTCAAAATAGTATCATCCTTATTTAATTATGATTATAATTTCGTAATGAGAAGATTTAATACACGTTTCTAATCAAAATCTTTTTTGTTCATTCTCAGGCTTAATATTATCAATGGTTTACACACATCCATTAATATGACGTTAATTTTTTAAAAAGTACGGAGTAATATAGTGTTGCTTTAAAAATTAAATTGTACATTTTGTAAGCCATAAAAATACTACGTATGATTGTATTTTCAAATTAAAAAAAAAAACGTACGTATGATTGAGTAATAAGTTTATAGAACTTTCTATAAACTTTATGCCGTTTATGCCGCCGACATTCGCTCATCCCGGGCCTTACAAATTCAATTGATCACTTCATCAGTGCGTCATTGCACACGTTAAAATTTAAACGAATTCTAAAATGGAGTAATAAGATTTCCTACTTTTATCAGGACTTGTTAAGTTCAGTTTAAAGAACAAAAGAATAAAATTTGGTCACTAATGCTATCGTTAGTTTTTTTATTGGTTTTTGTGATCATTTTATCATTTATTTCTTTAAATTATTGGATTATAATATTGTAATTAGTTCATGTTAGGGTCGGATCTCTCTATATATATGTTCAAAAGAGTTCACGTGAATACACAAAAATTAGAAAATACAATTTAAAATACATGTATAGAGTTGATCCAATAATTATACGTAGTACTATGTATATCGTATTTTTTTAAATAATATTTCTTACACATAACCTTATGTGTTAGTCTTTTGTTAGTGAAAAAGTTACATAATTTCAAGTGTTAGGTTAAAGAATATTATTGTCCAATATTTTAATGATAAATTAGTTTTAAAAACCCAACATTTTAGCGCAAAGTCCACCCCTAATTAAGCGCAAAGTCCACCCCTAATTATCTATGTGGATAAGAGAAGGTGTGGAACGGTAGCTTAGCTTGATCATACTAAATTTGTCTAAAAAAACTCCCTAGATAGTAATTCATGAATCCTATTCTGCCAAGAATATAAGTGTAGTGTTACATGAGGAAATTTAAACGGTTACTCTCCTGGTTCAATTCCGCATGTCTTACTTTTTTCTTTGAATTGTTTTAAAATAAGTGTTTTGCTTCATATTTTAGAAAGAAATATGTGATCTGCGACATGTTACTTTATTACGGAGTATATTTTAATTTCATACATAATTTTTGCTTTTTCAACCGTTTCATTAACAATTATGTCAAATCAAAGTACGACATGTAAAATGACACTATGCTATCTTTTACTCCAAATTTTCTATATATACGCATGTCATGACTCATGAGGTGGGTGTAGTGAAATTCAATCCATTTTAGACGGCCGGCGGGAATGAAGAAACGCGGGCAGGGTTCGTGGTGGTGCGGTCAAGTTACTATTCCTGTATTCCTCGCCTCCTTTGCTGTAACGGCGGCAGCGGCGGCTCTGTCGGATGATGAGGCCGCAGTAATCCAAGAGCTGAAGGAGAGTCTTAGCGTTGATGACGGCACTTGGAATCCGATGATGGACAAGTGCAAATGGAGAGGCGTGCATTGCGATATCCCTCAGAGCTCGGTTTTAGGTGTAATCATTGCGGACTTTAATCTGAGCGGGTTTCTGCCCGCAAGTCTGGGAAACCTCACCAACTTGCAGGTATTCGATGTGAGGGGGAACCGCATCACCGGGCCGATTCCCGACTTTAAGGGGTTGGTGAATCTCTTGTACCTCCTCATTGATGGAAACTCCTTCACTTCAATCCCGCCCACTCTATTCGACTTCAATCCTACACTGACTCGCGTTTCTCTAGACTACAACCCACACCTTCCCCCATGGCAGATCCCCGATGGTCTGAAGAACTGTTCAAACCTCACCTATTTCTCCGCCGTCCATTGCAACCTTAACGGGACCTTCCCGGCCGTCTTCAACAACCGCAATTTCCCGATCTTAAGAACCCTTCGCTTGATGTCCAACCATATATATGGGAAGATATCTCTCGGACGGCTGCCCGCCTCTTTGGAGACTCTGTGTATCAGCGCAGGACCTAGGGAGGGTCATGGCGGGGCAAGCGCCCCCGCTCCATGCCCAGAAAAACACTTCTAGTACTTATGTAATACTTGTGTTACGTTCCTCTCTGTCCCGTTAACATTGTCTTATTTTTTCTTTTTTCAAAATCCTACTAAGATTGTCTTATACTACGTACTAATCCTCTCTATGCATTGATTTTTGAGTGTTTATATTTTTACTTTTAATTACTTTTTATGGTGTGTTGTTGTGGTAATTGCACATTTAAGGTGCAATCATTTTATTTTTCTAGTTTGTTGTAATTTAGTAAATTTAGAATCATCTTGAGCAAGAAACAATCAAGAATCAACAAAGGATCATGGAAGGGATCTTACAAGATCAAAGGAAAGTGCAAGGGAACAAGAAATCATGCAAGAAATGTGATTTGGTGACTTACCCGGTCGGGTATAGCCTTTACCCGGTCGGGTATGAAGTGACCCGGACAAAAAGACGTGCAGAAAACACAAAATCGTGGGCAAAATATTTGATTTTGACAAATACCCGGTCGGGTATCTCAAATACCCGGCCGGGTATCCGGTGCAGCATCTTCAAAACACCTATAAATAGCCCCATTTTCCTTCACTTTTAAGCACTCCTTCTTCCATACTCTTAAGCTCAACTTAGAATAGTATTTCTTTTATATTTTTTTAGCATGTTTAGTCTCCAAATGAGGAGCTAAACTTCCATTTCTTGGTGTTGCTCTTGAAGCTTGCACTACAAGAATTTTGGCATAATATGACAATTTTTTTGTCATATAAAATTCATTTTTTGTCACTAAAACTTTTATATGACGGATAATGAGCGTCACAGTGATCGTCATTGTAGCTCCGTGGTATTAGGTATATGTGACAAATTTCAGATTCGTCACCAAATAAATTACATTTAATGACGTTTTAACACTTTGTCACCATTATTAATCACTTTTCGTGACGATAAATGTGTCACATTAATATCGATTTTTTTTGTCATCTAAATGTGTATTTTGTCACCAATAATTCACACAATAAATGACAAAAGATTAAATTGTCAACAAAACATAACATATGGTGACAATCGCGAATATATTTTCTGAATTTTTGACTTGTGATGACAAAATCGTCATTTTGTCATATTTAATAGCATTCGTCATTAATTAGAGTTAGTTTAGTTACAACTTTTTTCCATCATTTATAAATTATTTATTATGACAATATATATATATAATATAACTTAATACAAGTAAATAAATAAAATTCCAATATCTTTAGTTATCTCAAATTGTCACATAAATGTGAATGTACATACTAAGCTACATAATTCATAGGGGCATACCCCGTAACAATATGTAATAAACAAGGAAAAAATGCAAGCTAAAATAAAAATACATGTGCCAAAACACAAAAAGACCGAAATATCAATGGAGAATAGATGAGTAGACTGAAACATCAATGGAGAATAGATGAGTAGAAAAAGCCTTGAACATTTCGCCTGCAACTTGAATACTTCTTATTAATCAGTTGATTGAATTTAGCCTTATTTTTTTCCCTGCAAAGATACAAGCATTAAAATAATTGAGTCACATTAACTAAATGGTCAGAGAAAGATACTAAATTTAACCAATATAAGCACCGGGTACTTAAAAATTTAACATAGTAGAACATCCTAAAGATTAGAGGACACATGATACTAAATGGTAGTATCAACTAAATGAATATTCCAAATTTAATACTACGTATAATACAACCTTTTTCCCATACCTATCAACAAAGTAAATGAGATATTCTATATCAACACACTTGTTCTGAAAAGTTCCTTCTATGACAATCAGCATACCTATAAGTAAAAAAACATAATAGTTACTATTTATACCTATTTTTTTTAGCACCTGACTTGTAAGTTGTTTAATTTCTAGCATCACAAAAAAATAAAGTTTAGTGAGGACAAAATCTGAATCTATAATATTCGTTCACCACGATGTCTCTAGCAATAGAGTGATCAACGTTATGTTTTCTTGGTCCAGAGTACTCATCAGTTGGTTGTAGCATATTAAGGTAGCTTAGGCAACACATAATATATAAATGCTTTCACTATGGGTACATCTTTTCTTCTTTGCTAGAAGAAGCATGAATTTTCTTCCCTGTACAATGTTTTTCAAATATTCAGAAACAAAAAAAGAGAACATGCTCTTGAAACTGAAGTATTTATGAACTAATGGTAAAAAAGAGATTAAAAACACACCTCTTTAAAAGTTTAAAAATGCTCTTGTACTCAAAACTACACTTCAAAAGACACGGAATATAACCATGAGCCTGCAAGATGACCTGTACAAGGAAAGTCACCTCTTTCATCTTACTTAACTTCAGAATATGAGAACGGTAATGTAGTGTACATACTACTTAAATTATAACTTATAAGGGTAGATGAAAAACTCAAGCACAACCTTCACTAACAATAAGAGTTATAAATAGGCAAATTGTCTATACAGATCTCAATCAAGACAAACTAAAAAAATAAAAGCACAACCTGATTAATAAATCTACAAGTATAAAGAGAGAGTGAGAGTTAACTAGCAAGTAACATTCCAAGACGTACTGATTTTACAGAAAAGTGAATACTTCATGACTTCAATGTGGCAAACTAAAGATTTACAAATTAATAGAATTGCCTGAAATACACTGTTAACAAATAATGCTCACCAAGAAGTGCAGCAATTTGAGGTACATATATGGGGGTGTTTGGAACTAATTATGCTTCTTTTTAAAAGTAGAAGCAGGACCAAAATCAGTTTTCAAAAGCTGGGGAGACCAGCTTCTAAAAACACTGATTCTAGGAGTAAATTAGACACCAGAATCACTTCTGCATTTTCACCGAAACACTCCAACTAGGGAGCAGAAGCAGTTTTAAGAATCGGATCCAAACACCCCCCCCTATATATATATCCTATGTGAAACAATACCTTTTAGATCACCACCACAATGGGATAACCTCAGTAGTGAGGGCTTTAAGGGGAGAGATTGTATTCAACGGACCTGAGAGATTATTAGTAAGAATCCATGAGGAGAAAAGTGTAACAATTATAATAAAAATAGGTTGTCAAAACCTGGTAATTAAATGGTAATAATTGGCAATTGATGACTATATACTTGTAGTTTCATGATCAGCCACAACTGAGTAATTTCATACCGTATAGAAGATTTATAACTAGAAACAACGATCAGTTTAGTCCATAATTCCTGATAAGGTAAGTACTGACTAGCTAGCAACTTGTTCTCCAGACCATTTTTCCAAGTCAAGTAGCAATTGGAGAAACTAGCCATTCATCTCAGGACAAATTAAAACACAGGTGTAAATATGAATGATATACAGTTATCCTCACAAGTCAAGTACCTTGCTCAATTTGCAGCGACTCCAACCTTTAAGACACCATCTCAGGATTTAAACTAAATGTCCATATGTCAGATTCTTCAGCCTGAGCAATTATGCGTAACAATAAAAGTCAATTCATTTTAGCACTCACATTGCCATCAAATTAAAAGAGGATTATTTTCTTCTTTCAGAATGCAGGGCATTTCAATAGTGTTAGAATTGGGCAATTCAAGAAGGTTTCAGAGAGTTTATCATGAAAATTGATTCCTATGCTTTATTTACCTTGCTGAAGAAAATCAAAATCCATCTCAGGACCGGCGCGAGAGATCCACAACAATGTGCAGTTCACTTTAATGTGGAATAAGCATTACTCCTGAAATTCAGTTAGATAAGAATAGGGATAGAAAAAATACCAGATATAGAAGAAACTGTAGAGGTCTAGCATGCACTAAAAGTATAGGGACTACTGTCTCGATTATCGAAGTGTATACCTCGACTGTTCACCTCAACAGCCTGATGGTCTACCAATCCTTCCTAGCCGTCTAGAGTGCAGCCTGCGTGCTGAAGACCTAGACCAGGTTAGTAGGGATAGAGCTTCGTTGACAGCTCGTCCAGCCTGATAGGTGGTGGTATCACACCTTTCTCGAAGGAACCGTAGGTGAGACTTTCGCCTCATACCACTCTGTCCTGAAATCACAAATGTCAAGTGGAAGAAAACTGATTGACAAATTGAGAATAGAAGACCAGCATACCAGTTTTTGTCTGAAGAGAGAAGAGACCAATTAACAGTCGAGCACAAGGTAGACGAAGCAATAAGGATCTTTGGCATTCAGGGCAGCCAAAATTTAATTAAATAACATATTAGTATATTGCAACAAATGATTCCAAATGTAATACAATCAAGAAAAGAACTTTTATTGCAACAAGAAAATCAAAGAAAAAAATACTCCGTATATATTACCGGAATAAGAGTTTTAGTCAAAATCAACCGGGTTATAGTATCTCTTTATTCACATTACCTTTACTGAAAAAAATGGATTACTAGTTACTACACTAATACTAACTAACTAAATAATGAGATTAATAATAACAAATCACAATCCTTCTGAAAAAGATCACAATCAAATTCATACTGAGATATGATGCTCACAAATGAAAATTTTGAACTTACAAATCACATTCATAATAAATACTAAAACTGGTCAATGATTCAATGGCTCACCCATATAATCAAATGACTCAAGTCAGATGTAAAACTCACTTATTAACATGAATATAAAGCCATAAATTCACATTGAAAGTATGAACAATTAAACGATTAATAAAGGCTTGAAGGAGTCAAAAACTTCAAGAGTTAAAGAATACTAATTTATAGAAATCCAAATTCAAGAATTCTGAATCTTCAATTCTGGATATAGGTTGTAATTAAGGAGCTAAACTAAATATAGAAAATATAATAAAACTAAAGAATTAAGAAATTTACCTGCAATTCGAGAGAGGAGGCTATCGGTGTCAAGTAGAGGGCTACTACATAATGGACCTAAGACAAGATAAGAAGAATGGGGATGAAGTTGAAAGCCTTCGGCTAGAGCGACCTGCTCCAAGTAGAGGGATTGTACAGTTTCACGACCCTAACCAGCATAGAGAAATTCGATCACAGCAGCGAGGAGAGAAGAACGACGCTGGAAAAGAAAATTTGGGAGAGGTTCTTCAGAAGGCGGAAAGAAAAGTACCTTGTATGGGAGAAGAACGAAGTTTGGGCGGCAGAAGGGTTTTAGTCGGAGAGAAGGATACTCAGAAAATACGGTTTGGGCGAGATTTTTCATTAGGCGGAAAGAAGAGCGCCCTGAATTCTCTCAA